ATATATATATATATATATATATATATATATATATATATATGACGAGTTGTTCGAATTTCGCATCTTCACTTCAATACCATACGTGCTCCACATCTCACTTCTTTGCCTGCTTCGTGCGTTTCAACCTAAAGAAGTCTACGCACAATTTATCTACTCTCATAGGGTTGTTGTTCATCCCTCCGTTAAGTTTGTTACTTCATAATATGAATTCACTGTGGATGTTCAATCTTACACCGCCCATGGTGAATATAGACGCAAGTACTGATCATCATTGTACAGCGTAATACAGTAGAGCGAACTTCACTGATCGCTGTCAAACTCATAATGCGTACAAGATAAGTGAGAATATGTAAGGACAGGGACCTATTTTTAGGGACGGGGAAAGAAGGTGAACCTCAACACACAGTGTACACACAATTTCAAGCATTCTGGTCTGATAAGAAGTGGCAACATGATCGCCATTGCCGTCAGTTCGCAGCCATGATCTTCAGTGTCTCCAACCACGCGGTTACGGAGTCTTTTGAACCACAACCCGCAAGACAAAAGACACCTACTCTACCTAATAGCTCTGTGGATTTCTTCGTGCCTCCTCTCCACGTCATCTACTGGCCTCCACGTGGCTTTCTCCAGCCTGCAACAGCCACTGAAAATAAGGTACGCTGCGGTAGGCGACCGTTGGACGTACGCAAAGCGTGTCCTAACCAACGGGGCCTAATGAGCTAGATTCGATGAGGTACCGGGATCTTGTTTGATGTATTCCCAAACACCAGACGACTTACCTCTAAGTTACTAACCCGCTCACTCCATCCCACTTGGGCCAGATTACGTAAGTATCGATTATCGAATACTGCTAAACGACGGGTCTTGTACCCGCAAATTCAAGGTCTCAACCGTAATGCAGAGCTGATCGTACAGTGGCGCAGTATACGCGACTTTTCAACTTCAGTAAAACACAGGTGTTTTAGTCCTGCGTACGCTGTTCGAGCATGGGAAATGTGGGCGGTTATCTCCTTCGATGCGTTACCGTCGTTGATCACGCAGCTACCTAAATACGAGAGGCAGTCAACTTCAGCTAATTTCTGACCATCTGGTTTCAGAACAGAACTTGGCGACACCCAGTCTCGTAGCATCACTTTGCACTTTAAAGGTGCAAAGTACATGCTGAACGGAGCGACAGAACTTGCTGACCTGTCAAGCGCTCTTTGTGTGTTCTCCATACATTCGAACAAGCAAACGATGTCGTCAGCGTACTCTAAATCGGACAGCTTTTCTCCAACTGACTTGCTCTAGTGTGCACAAAGTTCACAAGTTTACTCAACCCTTCCATTTCGCATGTTCGCCGAGCTTGGCAATTGGCTTGCAAACGTTTCATCACCAGCCGAGGTGAAATAATTAGTGCTTGTGAAGTGGCCACTTCACAAAATGCGAAATGAAATTAAGTTCACCCTAGCTACGAGAACCGATTTTCATTATTTTACTCAACCCTTGTATGACCGCGACCTCCTTCCTGGAAGTTGATTGTACACTCTTACTCACTAAACATAAGGAAGTAGCCAAGCAAACCAAGCAATGCAATAACACCTACTCGTCGTAATCCGACAATTTTTACCATTCTGGAACGCTATTCCCTCGTTTTCAAGACTAGCGTGATTGAACCATGTGGCTTAAAGGTTAATGACAATTTACATTCCTCGATGGTATCGTTCTCCGTTATTCACCTCGGATATCGTTCCGTTATTATACTCATTTTTCATTATACAACCCAGTGGTCAGATCCCGATCTCTGTGACATAGTATTAACTGTCATTTTTCACTGAACTATTTACTTTCCAGCCCGCAAAATATGATAGCACAGTCGCAATCGGGTACGGGAAAAACTGCGACTTTTCTTCTCGCAATGCTCTCTCGATTGAATCCCGAACGACAGTATGCTCAGTGTTTGTGTATGGCTCCTACCCGTGAATTGGCACTTCAGATCGCATCAGTTGGACGCCAAATGGCAAAACATATGAAAGGTGTTACTGTTGGTACAGCGGTCCGCGGAGAACAAGGTAACGTAACTCATTCTCTTCGCGGAAAATGTTCTTGCTATTTGTATTTCACACATGTTTAGGGTCAAACTGTGTGCCACAAAATTCACGGTACAGCAATCTTTACGAAAATAGACAAAGTCTATGATTTGCTTGTGAGCAATAGGCTATCCGTAATTTATCTGATATTCTATGCACCAAGAGGTAGATACTGGTATAGCTAAACTGGGTAGCTTCTCCGGCGGTACGTTAGCTTTCTTCGTTCCCTTTTTTGATCACGTGCAGCCACTGTTGACGCAGACGGTTACGTATTGAACCAGGTGGTGATTGGCACACCGGGGACCGTGGCACAATGGGTGCGCTGCAGTGGACCTGTGCGCCTAGATGCCTCGCGCTTAATTACCTTTGTGCTTGATGAGGCCGATCTCATGATGGAAGAGGAAGGTTTTCTCAATATAACTATGCGCATTAAAAGGTATGTTCGCCATACTTTTACTAGTTCATTTGTTTCGTTGTCTTCAATCACAATCGACTTCAGAAATTCCACCTATCAACGCAACTCTTTTCACAGCCTTTTTGATTATACTTCAGTCAGTATTGTTGTTTTGTTCGACAAGGTTCATGCATGTTCAATTTCTTGCTATACCTTCGTGTTCCGTTACTTCCAGTACATTCGATTGATATTATCTGCCGCGCTAGCCTCATCGATACGGTCCGATCATCTCTCCAAGATAAGGAAAGCGTTATCATATAAGNGATCATAATTCCGATGGATCATAACTGTCCTATAAATTCGATTCTGCGCGTATTGATATCTGTCAAAGACCCTCAAAGACTTAGCCGACTCCTGTGATGTCTGACACAGTCGAGTAACATGAAGCGCTTTGCAAGCCCGTTACCCAGTGTCCTGTCGTAATGATTCTTCGAGGCTGGTTTGTCTCTTAATCTCTCTATGAGATGCAATAAGGTGTATGTTCCTTACATTTTTGTCTATTGTGCATCAACTGTGGGTTTGATTAGGGTTCGCGAAGTTGGCTTTATTACCTATACGGTGTACCACCAATCCTGATGAGGCTGTGGCTTACGGTGCCGTTGTGCAGGCGGCCATTTTGAGCGATGATAAGTCTGGCTGTGCAGGACTTACTGCTTCTAGATGTCGCCCCATTGCCATTGGGCTTAGAGACTGCCAGTGGTGTAGTGACTGCGTTGATCAAGATGATCACCACGATTCCGACCAAAAAACTCAAACATTCACCACTTACTCGGACAACCAAGCTGGTGTATTGATTCAGGTCTATGAAGGCGAGCGTGAAATGAAAAGGGACAATAACTTACTTGGCAAGTTCGAATTGTCAGGCATACCTCTTACGCCTCGAGGTGTGCCTCAGATCGAAGTGACCTTCGATATTGATGCCAACGATATTCTGAAAGTGTCGGCGGTCGATAAGAGCACTGGAACCCCACTAACGGTGGGCGGGAATCGTCTCGTCTAATCTACTGAGTCACGAAGCTCCCGATTGTTATCCACAGAAAAGACGATAGCAGCTAGAATAAACAAACCCCTGTGCTATGCGCGCGGAAGCAGTTCGTGAGATTACTCTCCCTTGATCATGAAGTCGAAATACACCCACTTAACACTGAAGTTCAAGTCCACACTCGGCAGATAATTATCATCCAGCCGAGTCAAGTTCGCACTTAACGCATCGATTGTGAACAGAATTCTCAGTGAAAAAGGTATATTTTTTTGCGTTGACGTAATGTGATGCATATAACTGGGTTGGGTCACACAACCTGTCACATCCTTCAATGTGTGTGATAGACAATGATGGTGACCGGCACCAAATAAAGAGCAGCCTAGAGGTGCCACTACATTCGAACAATTGAAACCCCAAGGTTTATAAGCCCAATTTATCACTGAGGCCGATAGTGGACATGACAAACCCACCGTATCATGCCACATCGAAATGGCTGGCTCAAATATTCGATCCAATCAGGGAGATGATATCGACACAGGTTGAGAGACACTTTCCATTTTGTTGATCAAATCAAGGAGCTAAACATCTCTTCTCCTTAGACGCCATCACGACGAGACTGCACCTTGACGTGGTGTGATGGCTTGCGCGCCTCAGTGACCCTGCGAGCTACACAGGATGGCTTCTCACAGCCGTAGATCCAATCATTCCTGAAAGGTCAAGGGGTAGAGGCCAGACGAAGATCAGTGTCACAAGGCCAG